GTGTGCGCCCCGGGGCCAGGGGGGTGGTGGGCACGCGGGTCAGCATCCCCAGGGGGCGCTGGTGTGCGCCCCGGGCGCGCGGGTCAGCATCCCCAGGCGACCGGCCGACCCACGTTTGTCCCGCAGGTCCCCGGAGCGTTCCGGCGCGCAAGAAGTCGCAGGCTGCGCCCCCCCTGAAGCCGCCCCCGCCGCCGCCCGCGCCACCCAGCGACGACGAGCTGCCCTGGGGAGACCTGACGCTCAACAAGTGCCTGGTGCTGGCCTCGCTGGTGGCGCTGCTGGGCTCGGCCCTCCAGCTGTGTCGGGGTGAGCTCTGCAGGGGCGGATTCCGCCGCCTTTGGCCAGGCTGTGCCTCCTTTGCTCCTTCAAACCCTGAGCTCGGGCCTCTCTCCCCGGTGGGTGCGGAATGGCCTGTGAGCCCCAGGGTCATACGTGGCCTTCCAGCCTTATGGTGTCTGCCTTGAGTTTTCACAACCAGGCCTGGCTTTCGGGTGTTTGGGGCTTATTGGTCATTCATTCATTCGTTTTGAGACAGTCTCACTATGTGGCCCTGGCTGGCCTCAAACTCACAGAAATATGCCTCCTAACTGCTGGCATGAGGGTGTGTGCCGTCACCACCGGTTTTGTTATGTTTTGTTGTTTTTTCAGACAAAACTCTCAGGTAGCCCAGGCTGGCCTCCTGCTTTGACCTCCCAAGAACTAGGACGGCAAGAACACGCCTTGAGCTCTGGCTTTTGGGCTCACTTGGTAGCACAGGCTAGCCTGGGTCTCACGGCATCTCTCCAGCCAGGATGACAGGCATAGATGGCTCTTCCACTCCTTCATTAGAGAAGGGACCCACGCCCCACCCTGGGACAGAGAATCGCTAACTCCCCCAGTGCAGCTTGGGTGGGGAGACAATGGCCTCTCCACAGGGGGAATAAACAGAGAGAGAGAAAGGTCTCTAGAAAAAGGTTGGCGTATCCATATCCGGGCTGCAGCTCCCTGGGAGGCTGGAGTTGATGGCTTCAGCTTGAGCCATGCCGAGAGTGGAGTTCTGGGAGGGAGGGGGAGGAAGAGGTGGATGTGCTACCCCCCATCCTCCAGCCCAGACTGACTGATTTTCAGACGCAGTGGCTGGGGAGCCTGCCCCCCAGCAGTGGGTCCTGCCCAGCTCTCCACCCAAGAAGCCAGCGTCACCTCCGGTAAGCCTTTCTTCCAGCATTTTCACCCTTTCAGGGAGAAGGAGGCTGGGCCTGTGGGGAGGTAGGCAGGGACCCTAGGACCCCGCTTTGTCTCTCTGCAGCCTAAGCCCCTGCCCTCAGCGCCCCCATCCAGGCCTTCTGAGCCCCCATCCGGGCCACCCCAGACCCAAGCACAGATGCTGGACAAGCCTGAGTGTCCTGGGAGCCCGGAGGCTACAGAAACCCAGGAGGAGCCTGGGGGGTCCTCTCCGGACGCCTCTGGGGAGGAACGCTCACCCCTCGGGGACCGTAGGACCCAGGAGAAGCCGAGGAAGGAGAAGCCAAGGAAAGAGGAGAAGCTGAAGAAGGAGAAACCGAGGAGGGAGAAGCCAAGGAGAGAGGAGAGGCCAGGGGCCAGCAGGGAGCCCCGCCAGCCCCTGCCCAGGCGCTGGGAGGGGCGGGAAGGAGGCCATAGGCAGTGGAGGCGGGACTCCAGGGACCTGGGGCACGACAAGCGGCAGGCCTGGGCTCCCCAGCGACGCCGTGACCACGAAGACCGGCCCAGACAGAAGCACCGTGGGGGAAAGGGGCGTGACTGACCCCCCCATCCCTGCGTGGATCCCACCTCCCCTGTCCCTGAAGCCCCAGGAATAAAGCCTGTGTGGCAACAGCCACGACAGCCCCTTTGTGCCTGGACCCTAAGGGTGGAGGAGCTGGAGATGGGGTCAGCGAGATGTAAAGAGGGGAAAGACGCCCGCTGCCAAGCCAGGCTATCCAAGTTCCATCCCTTGACCCACTCTGTGGAGGGAGAGAGGAGAGAGGGACGCCTGTTAGTTGACCTCTGACCTCCATCTCTGTGCTATGCAACTGTCTTAGCCTGTGCAGCCAAGCCTGGCTTAGGTCCTGATTTTCCTGTCTCTACCTCCAGAGGGCTGACAGCTGAGCACTGCTACACTTGACATGGTGCTTTTTTAGAGACGTGCGTGCGTGTGTGTGTGTGTGTGTGTGTGTGTGTGTGTGCCGGTGTGTGTGTGTTGGGATATGCAAGTGTCCTTTGCTCCTGATTCATTTCTCCGGCTCCCAGTTTTGGCTCTGTAGTTCAGGCGTTTCTCCTGCCTCAACTTCCTTCCAGCCAGACACCTTCCCCTCCACACACACAGATCAATTGATTGAAAAACTGACAGGGTCCAGGAGTTTAATGCCAGCAGTGGAGAGGCAGAAGCAGGTGGATCTCTGAGCTGGAGGAGGCCAGCCTGTTGAGTTCCGGCGTAGCCAGGGTAACGCAGAGAAACCCTGTCTGGAAAAGAGGAAAGTGATGGGGACCTGGGGACTGAGAGCTTCCCCATGGGTGTGTGGCTGTGGGTGAGGAGGAACCAGGCCTTGCACTAGAAGAGAGAGGTGACAGGAGGCCCCCCACCCACAGACACCCCAACTGAGCGTTTGCTGATCTTTATTAGGGCACTGACCGGGGGCAGGGCGGGCGTCACCGGCAGCCGCACTCAGTGGCCACCATGTTGGGGACGTGGTGCGCACTGATGCGCTCCTCCGACAGGCTGATGAGGAGCTTGCCCGCGTAGGCAGTGGGCACGCAACAGGGGACGCGCCCTAGGGCAGCCCCGCGGGCCTGCATCTTCAGCAGCAGCACCACGTGGTTCCCGTAGCGGGGGTTGCGGTCGGACTGCGGCCACGCGCAGGCACCTTGGCAGTTGTTGGCCTGGTAGGTCTCAGGGATGAGGACGGAGCGCTCTGCGCGCAGGTCCACGCTCAGCTCGCGCAGCGCGCACAGCCCTCCGGCCGCCGTCCCCGCGCTGCGGCCGGGCCTCCCGCGCCCTTCCCGCCCGCGCCACTCGGCCCGGAGGCCCTGGAGCGCCTTCAGCAGCAGCAGGGCGCGCAGCGGGTCCCCGGGGCTGCGGGAGCCGTTGGGGCACAGCTCCAGCAGCCGCGACAGCAGCGGGGGCGCGGCGGGGGGCAGTCCCGGGAGGTCCCGCAGCTCCGCGGCCGCCGCCTGCAGCTCCACAGCCACCCTGCGGGCCAGGCCGGCCGCCCAGGGAGCGGAAGTGGGGCCGTGCGGCTGCGTGGGCGCTCCCGCGGTGGCCGCCGCGGGTGGCAGCAGCAGCAGCAGGGGTTCCTCCCCATCCAGCAGGCGTTCCAGCGCCGCGGGGTCCGACAGGTTGACCAGGCCCTGCGGGAAGCTGACCAGCTTGTCAGGGTCCAGGGCCAGGCGTGTGTGCCAGGCCCGGGTCAGGGGCCCCCGCAGGGCATGGACCAGGCGGGTGAGGGTCTCTAGGAAGGGGTCAGAGCTGTGTGGCAGGTCCTCCGCCTCTAGGGACAGGCTGGAACAGAATGCAGTGGGCCAACTGTGAGCACGAGAGGCTGCGCCGCTCCCCCCCCCCCCCCCCATGCGGAGGCGTCTCTCCAGCCCTGAGCGCACCCCGGCCGTGGGAAAGGCTTGGTGTCTAGCTGGCCGAGCGCTGGCTGCGGTAACGGTGACGGCCCGGCAGGTGGCAGCAGCAGGGTGGGAGTCATGCGCGTGAAACAACGGGAGTCAGAGCCAAACAGAAAGGCCTGCAGCTGGGCAATGCTCAGGATGGCACCTGCGGAGGGTGGGCACTGCTGGCTGGGGGCAGGGCTAAGGGCCGCCTCTTTCCACGCCGTCCCCGCCCCTCCGCCTGGGCCTACCTTCTCTGTGTGGCTGAAAGGTTAGGGCCAGACCAGGGCCGCTCCAGGCCCTCTCTGGGAAGTCCACGGCCAGCACCAAAAAGCGGGTGTCTGGGGTCGGACAGAGGCTCTGTGGACACAGGGACTCACTCAGCTGGGACCGGGGATGGCCAGGCCACAGGCACCACCCCTCCCACACTGGCAGTGGACTCCCAATTGAACTCCAGACCCCAGGAACCCTTCCATCAGGCGGAGCAGTTCCTCCCCCGCCCCCAACAGAGCGCTGTGGAGGGGTGGCCCCGCGCAGCTAGTTCTCTGGTACCTGAGGGCCCTGCAGTCCAGCCCCCGTGACTGTGACGTGGGGCCCTGGGCCCGGGTACAGCACCAGCAGGGCCTGCTCCCAAGGCCTGGCTTCCCCGGGGGGAGGTGCTTGGAATTTCAGCAGCAGAGCGGGCTCCCATAGCACTGTGGGCAAATACGGGGGCAACCGAGTCAGCAGGCCTGCCTACAGCCCCTCAGCTAGACTGGGGATCTTCTGGGACTGCATGCGCCAGAAAGATCCTCATCCCAGGGTCTTGCTGAAGGGAAACGGTGGCCGGTGGCCCTGCTTGGTTGTCTGCCTCTCTGGGAAGGGGTGGGCGCTGGATGTGCCCTGCCACAGTGGCCTTCGAGGCTCTGCCTGGCAGCCAAGCAGGGGGACTGCCCACAGCCCCAGGGTACAAGGGTACTGAGCCACTACATACCTTCAGCCAGATGCAGGGCCAGGAACTGCTGTGCCCCAGTCTCCCGCAGCCAGGTCCCCAGGTGCTGCAGCGCTGCCAGGGTGGCCTGGGAACCAGGACTGCAGACTCCAAAAGTAGCCCAGTCTTGGGGCTCCCAGTGAGACTCCCGTACAGCCTCCAGGAAGGCATGCTCGTAGCTGTCCAGGCCCCCGACCACCCTCAGGGAAGCCTTGCTGGCGTTCCCCTGTCCTCTCAGGCTCACCAGGCATGAGGGCTCTGGGGCACTGCTGGGAGGCCAGATTCCATCCTCAAGGAAGATGAGGCCCCTGGTGCTGGGCGCCAGCTCTCCGGGGGTCTCAGCCTGTGACACAGGCCCCATGGCCGCCAGCAGTACTGCTAGCAGAGAGAGGGGTGACCTCTGCATGGTGGTGCAGCAAGGGTTGGGCGACCCTGCTCTTATGTAGGGCTGAGCCTGAGTCCCTGGGAGGGACACCTCTATCAGCTCCGGAGGTGACCTTGGGGGACCGCGTCTGGCGCCCTGCATACCCGGCAGGTGGGAGGCAGCCTTCTCAAAGGGCTTTCTGTCCTCAGAGCTGGGCCCCCAACTGCAGAGGGCACAACTGTCCTTGGGTAGCTCCCATCCGCCTAGAGCCCACCTGGAGGACCTTCAGGCCCGGGTCACCATGCCTTCAACAGAGGCGAGCAGTACCCACCCCCACCAGAAACACACACTGCAGACACGGAGACACGGGGGAGGCTGTTTAATAGGCACGGGACAGGACAAAATAGAAAACCTTCCAAGGACTGGCCATGGGAAAAGACCACACAGGCGGGGCAGCTGCTCAGTTGCCTGGGGGAGGGGGAGGCATGGTCCCAGGGCCCTCTGAAGGAAGGGGAGGCCTTAGCATGGGGGGCATAGGAGCTGGGTGCACCCCAGGGTTTGAAGGGTGAACTCCTGGGGGCTGAGGGTGAACCCCAGGGGCAGCAGGGTGGACCCCAGGAGGAGGCTGGGGGTGCACCCCTGGTGCCTGAGGGTGGATCCCAGGGGCTGGGGGGTGGACCCCAGGGGCCTGAGGGTGGACTGCAGGGGCGGGTGGGTGTACTCCCGGAGCCTGAGGATGCACTGCAGATGTTGGGGGAGGGTGCACCCCAGGGGCAGGTGGGTGCACCCCAGGGGCTGGGGGATGGACCCCAGGGGCAGGTGGGTGCACCCCAGGGGCTGGTGGATGGACCCCAGGGGCTGGCGGGTGCACCCCAGGAGCTGGTGGATGGACCCCAGATGTGGGTGGGTG